ATCAGATCGAGGAGATGAGTACTTGAGCACAGAGTTCACCCAATTCCTCAAGGACCGTGGGATTATGTCCCAATGAACACTTCCTTATACACCCCAGCTCAATGGTGTATCTGAAAGGAGACCACAGCTTACCTTCTGAACAGAATTCCAACTAAGTCGGTGGTGTCTACTCTATATGAGATATAGAAAAGGTAAAAGCATGATCTTAAAGTTGTTAAGATTTGGTGTTGCTCTACCTACATCAAAAGGCACAACCCTAACAAATTAGAATCCAAGACAGAACGATACATATTCGTGGGATACCTTAAAGAAACTAATGGGTATTATTTCTTTCATCTCGAGGACCAAAAGGTCTTTATAGCCAAGAGAGTGGTGTTCCTTGAGAAGGAACATATTCTTGGTGGAGATAGTGGGAACATGATAGAGTTGAGCGAGGTTGGAAAACCTAGCTCAAGCACTATTCCACTGCCCGAGTCTGTTAAGGTATCTAGGACATAAGTTCCGACTTTACGTAGGGTCGGTAGAGTATATCATCCTCTTGAGAGATATGTGAGACATATTAGAGGAGATGATGTTGCAGATATTGATCCTCAGACCTACGAGGAGGCTATTACGAGTATAGACTTCGGGAAGTGGCAAAAAGCCATGAATTCTGAGATGGATTCCATGTACTCCAACAAGGTTTGGAACCTAGTTGTTGCACCCGAGGGTATTGTACCCATTGGTTGCAAGTGGATCTTCAAGAAGAAGATCGGAGTAGATGAAAAGATAGAGACTTATAAAACTAGGCTAGTGGCTAAGGGGTATCATTAAAGGCAATGTGTTGACTATGACGAAACCTTCTTACCTATAGCTATGTTCAAATATATTTGAATTCTATTGGCTATTGCAGCACACTATGATTATAAGATCGAGCAAATGGACGTGAAAACCACATTCCTCAATGGCAGCCTCAAGGAGGACGTGTATATGATATAGCCTAAGTGATTCATGTCCAAGGATAGTCCAGATAAAGTGTGTAGCTTGCTTAGGTCCATTTATGGACTGAAGCAAGCTTCCCGAAGTTGGAACATAAGATTTGATGAGGCGATCAGATCTTATGACTTTGTTAAAAACAAAAATGAGTCTTGTGTATACAGGAAGATAAGTGGGAGCGCTATCACCTTATTGGTGTTATATGTGGATGACATTCAGATATTGGACATGATGTAGGAATGCTATCCATAGTAAAGGCTTGGTTATATAGATACTTCTCCATGAAAGACTTTGGGGAAGCATCCTACATATTGGAGATTCGGATCTATAGAGATAGATCTAAAAGGATGATTGGCTTGTCCTAGTCTAGGTATATAGACATCATTGTCAAAAGGTTTGATATGAAAAATTTCAAGAGATGTCTCATATCGATGAGACATGGGATATCGCTTTCTAGGAGTATGTCCCCAAAGACTCCTGAAGAAAGGGCGAACGTGGATAAGATACCATATGCTTCAATGATAGGGTCTATCATGTATGTCATGCTATGTATCAGGCCTGATATAGTGCATGCTCTGAGTGTCACGAGCAGGTATCAAGCGGATCCAGGCTAGGAGTACTGGAAAGCAGTAAAGTGTATCCTTAAGTACTTGAGAAAGACTAAGGATCTTTTACTGGTATATGGAGATAATAGCCTCAGGGTTGAAGGCTACATGGACTCAAGTTTCCAGTCCGATGTCAATAATGGCAAGTCTAATTCGGGGTATGTGTTCACCTAGAATTTATGAGCAGTATGATGGAAGAGTTCTAAGCAAGATACTACTGCTAACTAGACCATAGAGGTAGAGTACATTGCTGTAATAGAGGCAGCAAATGAGAGAGTCTGGATAAATAAGTTCATCACATATTTTAGGAGTTGTGCTAGACAACAAGGAGTCGATTCCCTTATATTGCGATAATTATGGGGTGATTGCTCGAATAAGGGAACTTGGGTCTCATTAGAAGTATTATGAGAAGGTTCCAGCTTATTAGAGAGATCGTGACCCGAGGAGATGTAGTAGTGAAAAAAGTTCCATCCGAGGATAACATCGCAGATCTACTAACAAAGTCGTTGTCTCATATTATCTTTGAGCATCATAGGGGTTTGATTGGGATCAGACAATAGGTGATTGACTTTAGGTCAAGTGGGAGATTGCTAGTCATAGGTGCCCTGAAACCTAATCATGTGAGTGATGGCATGTGTGACATGATAAGCATTCTTTTTGTTTATTATATTTTAGCAATTTTATCATTTTATATTAATTATTGCATATATGAATATATATTGTGATATCCGTAGATTTGTACAATGGGAATCAGATCGTGATGAGATCATGATAATGAGACCAATTCACCTTTGAACACAGACCTTAAATAATCCTAGTTATAGGTTACTCGAGAGGGAGATCGAGATAACTGGATAGATTAGTGTGTTGTATACCCATCCATATGATGGAGGCAACTGGTCTCATATCTGCTCGTGTGAGGACACTAAGAATACAGTGCAAGTGCTCATTGGAGAATGAGTTCACTGATTGATCCACTCACGAAATACTAGATGGTTGATGCCTTATTGTCAAACAGCAATTTCGTAATCCTAGGAGTGTATTTGGTCCTTAGACTTGAGACATTAAGGATAGCCTGTATGAGTACTCCACTCTTTGATACCATACTTATAGGTTTGGAAGTTTCAAATCTAATACAACAGGTTATTGGGAGTGACAGCCAACCTTACGAGGACTATTAAGTGTCGATAGAGGATCATCCGCTCTCAATATCATGAGAGGAATATCCTATGTATTCTTGCTCAGATAAATCCTTGGCCAAGGTCATTCGAATTGAGAGAGAAATAGTTCTTCAGGAGAATCCGATTAGAGCGAGACTCGAGGAGAAATCATATGGGTCTGATAGCACCATGCCTGATATATGATCTATGAAATACTAAATGGATGAGGGACTATAGGTACACGGTAACTGAGGACAGATAGGTCCAAAGGATTGGATTCCCCTATATCGTTTGGGGATTACGGTGTAGTAGTATAATACGTCCGCAATATATGAGTCAAGTGAATTATTATAGAGATAATAATTCACTAAGCCAGAAGGAGTTCTGATAGGTATGACTCATAGCCAGCTCGATATTGGGCCTAAAGGGTCATACACATATGATAGGTGTTACAACAAGTAGTGGTTTGGATATAAGATATTCGTTGGAGCCCTTATCTTATTGGATATCTAATAAGCCTATGAAATATTGGATCCCATGGATGAGATCCAATAAGAGCTAATAAGATATTACTGGGTAGAGACCCACTAATTTAAGAGGCTTGGGTAATTGGATGGAGATCTAGTACCCAATAGGGCATGATCCATTAGGGTTAATTGGGGGCCTCTATAAATATGAGGGAACTAAAGGCTCATGGGATGGGGCTTCTTAGGTAATCACCTCCTATTCTCCTCTCCCCTTCTCCTCTTTAGATAGCAAGCATGAAGATTTGAAGAGCGTCGTCGTAGCCCTGCTATGTGGATCATCGCTAAAGAGGAGGATGCTTGACCTCATTCATCCTATCCAACAAATCTATATGGATTCAGTGACATACGATCTCCTTATGTAACACAACTGTCTCACAAGTGGTTTTCTGTGTCATGGGTTTTTGCGCACCAATCTACATACAACAACAAACACATATAGGGAAATTTAGGATTTTTGTTTTATGTTCTACCGCTGCGCATGTGATGTCGCCTTTAGATTTCCCAACACTTAATCTATCACTTATAGCGATCATGTGAATGATAGGAAGAGAAGATACGACAAGTCTAGTTCTCCTTATAAATCGTCATCATTATAGCTTTTAGCTCCGATGATGATATGCCTACAAATTATATAAAAACTTTCTAAATAGCATTGAAAAGATAAGCATTGTATATTTGATCTATCGTTATTTGATTTTATTTTCTAGTATTAATTTTTTTCACATAATAGTAGTATATTATAGTTTTTATGCTTACAATTGATATCAGACCCATGTTTTGAAATCAAATACTTTAGATCGTAAAAGTATTTTAGATATGTTTTGTATTTAAATCTGTTTATTGGTACTATTCACTTGTGAAAAAATATTATTCAATTTTGATTTATAATGTTTGAATAATACATTTGTATTGTGATTTGTTTTCTATCTAGTTCGTCATATTACCTGCTTGTAGATGATGTGAGGTTCCTCGTGTTTGATCGATGAATCACTATCGACAACTTATTATCAACAACAATATTGTTGAGGGTGGTAACCTTCAACAATTGCCAGCTTAGTCGCAGGCAACGACTTTGTATGCAACGACAGCGCTATAGATTATGACAATTGACGATGGCTGACATGCCTTAGTCATAGGTGACGACAGTAGAGCCGATGCTTGCAATAGCAACAATGACTACAATAGAATCGATGAGTGTGATGGTTGTAGTAGCACCACTGCTTGTGGCAACTACGACAATGATCGCTACGTGCAGTGATTGCAACAGCATCGTTGCATGCAACGGTTGTAGCAATGTTGCTATGGCTGGCATTGATTGGACGCCAAAGGTCATGGTACCCTCTCCACATCGACCAGTCATGCAGAAACACGACATAGGCAGGACGACTCAAGTCCCATATCGGGTCGATCACAAAGATGCAACAGAAGCCTAAGAGCCAACCCCCAAACCCGATCACAAAGTGTTTCAAAGTGTAGATTCTGTTTCCACAATTATTCTTCTACTTGTGATTACACCTTTTATTTCAGCTGCCTCTCTCAGTTATCTACTCTACAAGTATATGTTCGTCTTGGACCAAAATAATCTGCTAGAAGTGGCTCAGAAAGCTCGAGCAAGTATTTACCATTCAAATCATCATTAATTTCGTATTCTTATCTTATTTCATATAGTAATGTGGTATCCTGCAACATGATAAGTGGTTGTAGCATTAAAGAATACAGTGTAAAGCCTTCGAAAGTTCTTGATAAAGGTGAATGATCAAAGCAGCTACTTAATCTTCTTTCGGCAGCAACAAATAGCTTTCAGCCCTCATCAAAGATGCAGCTTCTTCTGCACTGGATTTGGAGATGTCTTAAGAGGATAAGAAGCTTCCATGGCGATACCACACAGCCCCTCGCTGGCCGAGATCCCACGCTGCATCCTCACGTAGCCCTCTTCGCCCCACTCTGGTCCCCATGAGTTCTTCACTATCCAGTACTTCATCCCATCCTTAGATGTCCCATAGCCTACGATGGCCACTCCATGATCCAACTCTGTTCCACAGCTCCCTGTGAAGACACCCTAAACCAAAGCAGTAGAAAAGTGTTGTCTTTGAAACCTGTTTACATCAAAAGAGAAGCATGGATGAGAGTTGTGCATACCTCGGAGTAGAACTGGAAGTCCTGACCGATTGCTTCGATTGCTACTGATACAGGTTGGTTCGCCACTGCTCTCAGCAACGCATCCTCGTCGTTGACGGGAACGTCCTCATATCCATCGATCACAACCGCAGGAGATCTCTCCTATAAATAACAATGATATGTATAGAGTTTACGAAGAAGATAATGACTACAACTAAGCAAATTAACATGTAACTCTTTTTACTTTGCATTGTTCTTGTCGAGCTACATAAGGATAGTTTTCCTCTGTTGTGATTCCTCCATTTCTTTCGATGAAGTCGAATGCATCATCCATCATACCTCCATCGCACCCTTTGTTGGTGTTGGTGTCGCAATCCACCAGTTGTTGCTCTGACAAGGAGATAAGCTCGTTGGTTCTGATCTGGTTTATTCCCTCCACCGAAACTACTGTCGAGAAGGCCCAGCAACTTCCTGCAACAATTCATACTAAATTTTCATTTATTTCGATCGAGCACATCAACAAAAAAATAAAATATTTCGAGCTCACCGCATTTGCCTTGGTCTTTGATAGCAGTGACGGCACCCTTCTGCCTCCAGTCGACGGTAGGAGTTACATCGGTGACGTTCTTGTATAAGAAGTACCCTTTGAGGCTCGCGCTTCCTCTCAGAGTGCTGCGGCGACGAATCCTCGTCCCTGCGTACGTCCTCTTGAACTCCTCCCTCGCCATGTCGCCGAACTTGTTGAGGCTAAGCTTGTAAGGCTTGCCTTTCTTGTTGGACGCGAACACGTAGTTAGCGTTCTCTTTAAAAACATCAAAGCGGATGCGCTTCTCGTCGACGCTGCGTGACACGCCATGGTGGCTCTGCCACCTCTCGTACAAGTCCAAGAGCTTCTCCTCCGACGCGATGTCATCCCCAACCAATGGCAAGCTGGAGAATGCTACCGCAACGAGAAAGGCAGCGAACAAGAATGCTCTCCCCATGGTGGTGAACGAGGAGAAACCAAACACAGGATGGAGGTAGGGTTAGGGATCGGAGGAGGTATCTATAGAGATGTTGGGAGTGAAGCATGACGACTGGGCTGTTAGGAGAATAGGGCATAGGCATGGGAGAGGTTCACTTTTACGTAACTGTTATTGTCATCTTCTTATCCCATGCATGCATGCATACGTCGAAAAGGTATCCTCTTCGGGTAGCTTGATGTGCATGGGTTCGGGCAGAAGCTTCCAAGCCAATATGGGAGAACAGTGTGTCGTCCTATAGAAATGGGAACTGTGAGGTTGCATATCCAAATCGCAATTAGCGTTTGATTAGGGAAAGAGATGGATATTATGAAGGGAAGAATATTATGCTCCTCGGTGTACCAATTGCTCGTCTTCACTGAAGTGATATGAATTTGATTCATATCAAGTTTTGGTCGACATATCACAGCATTCATGGTCGAGAAGGAGGAAAACTATGATAACTTATTTTTAACTTCTGAGGTCGTCAATATCACATATAAATATTTTGAATATTTTGAATCATTTAGGAATTTGATTCAAAAGTACGAGAGATTCCTTCATGTTCTTAGGAAGGTTGTTCTCAAGGTCTTCATGAGCATTGCAAGTTATCTCATTGGTCATTAATAATCTGATAAGTTCTTCGACAGAAAAATTATTCAAATCTTTGACCTCTTGAATAGTTCTTACTTTAGGGTCCCAACCATTTGGAAGGGATCTCAATATTTTATTAACAAGTTAAAAGTTCAAAAAATATTTGTCAAAAGCTTTTAAACTATTGACGACATCCGTAAAACGAGTGTACATGTCAACAATAGTTTCATTTGGCTTCATCCGAAACAATTTATAAGTATAAAATAAAAGATTTATCTTAAACTCCTTTACTCTACTAGTGCCCTTGTGAGTTATTTCGAGTGTATGTCAAATATCGAAAGTCGTTTCATAAATAGACACTCAATTGAGCTCATTTTTATCTAAAGCGCAAAACAAGGCATTCATAGCCCTTGCATTTAAAGAGAAAGTCTTCTTCTTAAACTCATTCCAATCTTTTATTGGAAGAGAAAACTTTTGAAAGTCATTTTCCACAATGTTCCATAACTCAAAATCTATATAAATTAGAAAAATTCTTATTCTAGTTTTCCAATATGTGTAATTCATCCCATTAAACATGGGTGGACATGTAATTGAGTGACCCTCTTGGTTACTAGCAAATGTCATCTCTTTTGGGTTTCAAACCAAAATGAGAGTGACCTTACTCTGATACCAATTGTTAGGATTAAGAACGACACTAAGAGGGGGGGGGTTGGATAAGTGTAGCGAAAAAATTACGCCTGTTTGAAAATCTCCATACGATAAAAACTAATTTTGACGAAAACCATTTAACTCGAGTAAGTGTGCAAGTGAGTAGAGAAGAGGGGATTGGACAATTTGCAATGAAGTAAAGAAATAAAAAAGGAACACACCAAAATTTATAGTGGTTCGGTTGTTGTGACCTACATCCATTTTCAATTCCTCCTCCGTCAAGGTCACTGGCATCCACAATGGTCTTCTTTCAATAGGCGAAGACCAACCACCTCTTTACAGTGTTTTCTCCTTTTCACAAGTTTAGGAGATAACCCTTAGAAGCCTCACACCTCTTCTTGGATGATTACAAAGCTAAAGAGAGAGAAGAGAAGGATTCTTCTCACTTTTACAACACTTTTTAACACCCCAACATTTAGAGTTTTTTTTCACACTTTGATTGCATTTTGTTACCCTTTCATGCAAAAAGGGGTGGGGTATTTATAGGCCACAATGACTTCAAAATTGTAGCCAATAAGTGTTTCATCTCGGGTTTTCGGGGTACTTGCGGTACCACCGCCTGACACTCTAACACTAGGCGATACCACCGCCCAATCTAGTGGTACCACTATCTAATAGAGTCTCGGATACTGAGCTCTAGCGATACCACTGCTCGATAGGGTGGTACCACCGCCTGACAATAATAACTGTCGGCAGTACCACCATTCAGTCTGGGCAAGACCACCGCACAGACCACTTGGGAGACCGTTCCCTGGGCGGTTCCGCCACCTCAGTCTAGCGGTGCCACTGCCAATTAGGGTCCAACAACTTGGTTGGCCTTGAATCCAACCCAACCAGTCCAATTACGTGGTCATTTGGCCTCTAACTGAGTTAGTGGGATTACTTTCCAAACCTAACCCTAATTACATGCTAACTATAATTCTTAAGATATACACTAAGCAAAACAAGTCTGATTAGTTTAGGTTTCTTCCGACGATCTTCCACTTTTAGTCCATACCTTTTTAAATTGATGATGAACTTATCCTTGTCGGTGTTTGTTCTAACATTATTTATATGAGATTTTAAATGAAACTAATTATAAATTTAAGTTATAGAAACTAAAAGTTTTAAATTAAGTATAATTAAGGCTAGATATATGAAATTAAAAAAAATTAGGTATCTTATATTAAGTTTTTAATAAGATAGAGAGATTGATAAAGATATCATTTATAGAGTAAAAATATGATGATTTATGTGATTGTGTAGTCATCAACTATCTTTGAGGTTAAAAAAAATATAAGATAAATTATTAGATCAATAATAATTTTTTAATCTAAGTGTTGGTAAATAAAAATGAACATATTTAAAAAAAAATGTGTTCATGAGATGATATTGAGTTGATATATGGAGTTATAAAAGGTTTTGAAAGAAAATATTTTTATTCATGAATAATTAGTGTTTCTTGATACATTATAAAATAATAAAGAATCATTTTAGATCATTTAAGTACATTGATGCGTATCTTTTCCCTGTTTCCAACAGCAATAAATCACACACCTTGCATGCTTCGCTCCATTCACGTCTTGTGCTTTATTATCCCCTCGTAGAGATCAAAGGAAAACATCGGATGCATTACAAGAACATGTCCTAATTGATCAAAGTAACAACTAGTGCAAACATCTGGAATCTGCGTTGAAGACTACTGAGACTTCTTCTGCAGAACAAGTAGCTTGAGGAAGACTAGCAGCAGGTGAACCACAGCTGCAAACATCGACAGAACGATGGCGGCCTTGACGCTGGCGCAGAAGCCACTCGCGTTGCTGCAGATAAATTTCGTCCAGAAAAAGCGCGCTTGTCCCTGTTCTGCCACGAGAATGATCGCACTCGCAGCGCCATTGCTCGTGAACAGGAAAGCCAGCATCACCACGTCTGCAAGCGACAGTGCCAGTTCTAAGCCCTTGGATGCGGCCCTGTTCACGAACGACAGTGCGAGGGAGGCGATGGAGTAAACCAGCACGAGCACGTTGGCGATTATGAAGTATCTGCATGAGATGAAAGATGGAGATCAAGATGATACAACACGCCAACGATTATGAAGTATCTGCAAACGATGAATTAAGATGGAGAAGATGATACGACACTTGTTCTTCTTCTAAGATCGTAAAAGTCTTGGAATTAAGCTCAGGTCATCAAGTATGTAAACGAATACCCCCATGCAACTCCATGCATGCATGGATATGCCGCGGCGGAAGGAAGCAGGAAGAAGGGAAGAAGTACTTACACGAAGGCGGCGGAGTTCACTGACTTGATCTTTGGGCCGGTCACAGACGCACCGAAGAAAGAGTCCGCAGGCGTCAAGTCTTCCTTGGCCGCGCCCATCACGACCGCGGCAATGAACGTCAACACCACGGCGGCGGCGCGAAGGACGTGGTCCAGTAGCCGCTCCGGCGGCGCCGATGCTTGGGCTGGCGGAGAAGGAGAAGAAGAAGGCATGGGTGGTGCTTGGGTTGGAGGGGAAGCAACAGGTTTGGGTTGGGACTCCATTTCCAATATCAGCCTGCTGTATGGTACTTGTTCTTCTCCATTGATGATGCTATAATATATATGCAGCATAGATATGTGAATGACAAGATGCCAGCTGACATTAATGAGCCACCAATTGCCCAATTGGTTTACCATAAATCATTAATCTTGAAGAAGATGACATTACTGGTGAGCCACGCATTGCCCATTTGGCATTTTCATATATATAGACTAAGGGACAAATCAATTGAAATATAATACAAAAGAAAAAAAGATGAGTGTCGATTTAGATTAGAAAGAACAATGGCGACATGGCTGTGCCCATCACCAAATAACTTTATATATCTTGATCTAAAACGCCAGCTAAAGCCAGATGCAATCAAGAAAGCATCTACTAGTTTGACTTAGGTTTTTGAATGCAAGGCCAATTCTACATGATATGAGACTGTTGTGGTTTGCATATTCCGTGCTATTGTTCCACTGTCATTAGAATAGTATCTGACTTGAGGATTGGAAGGGGTTAAATTAATCATGTTCAATGTTTTAATCTCACAAACAAAATCTCTTGTCATCAACCTAAATATCATATATATATAACCCCATACTTTCTCTAGGGATAAATATATGTCGATAACCATTAGCTAATGACACAAGTAAATATATATACGTAACACTGCATTAACATCACCCTTCAACTCCTCAAGTTAGCAACCCAGTGATAAGAGGTATATATGTGATGTGTGATGAGGGATGTTGGAAGGGAAAAATGGGTGTATGTGAAATGTGTGCAACAGAAGACACCTATAATTGGTATGTATTTTAAGAATATTAACTGTATTTAAATTATTTAGAGAAATTTTAATTAATTTTATTTTTTTTAAGGATTAGTATTAGAGGTAAGATCAGAAAATTAAGACTTGATGAATTAGGTTTTATTGATATAAATATGTAATATATTTCAAGATTTTGAAGAAAGGGAGAAAGGTTATTTCAATGAATCTACTTTGAGTGCTTCTAGATTTTTTTAATGAACCTAGATAGGGTCGAAAGGTTGTATGAGAAGGTGTACAATGGTATTTTTATTTTTATTTTTCTTATATTATAAAGAATTCAGTTTGTTGAACTATGTTAATTTTCTATCAATTTTTTTGATATTTATTTATTGATTAATCTCTATACTATTTTTATTTGGTCTCAAAAGTCTTCTATCACTCCCCAACATGAATCCAACAACATTCCCCTCCCTTCTTCATAGGAGAATCTGAGTTGATCCCAAATCTACACCACCAACCATGATCCCACAATGACTATTAATTCTCTTTTCTAATATGGAGTTCGAGGTGGTCGATCCATACCCTTCCATGCTAATTCAATGCTTTTATCAATGACTTGTAGCTACCGACTCTAAAGTGTGAGCCAACACCTAACGATGAAAACCCTTTTGTTTGATAACAAGAAAGATAACACTAAGAAGCTACACAAAGACAAAAGATGCTTATACATCTACTCACTTGAGACAACAATAGCCGAACCACAATGAGCCGACATCCTTACGAAGTCAGCATCATAAAGTGATTGTATCTTTGAAACGTTTCAAAGACAATTGAGTCTTCAAGTTAGTTCATCAATGCCTAAGTTGCCTTATGCCAAGGTCTTATCCACAATGATTGTGTTCTTCAACAAGTTGGCAGAGTCTTTATAGCTTTAGTCAAACTAAAGCAAACCAACTCATTCAATAACTAATCATATGGTTTGCTAAAAAAAAAAATTCCTCCTTCCAATTATACAACATATTCACTTGTCTCATTGAACAAATGTAGAAAAGATTTATTTATGCCCGTTTAATATGTCTCATTGCATTGTACCAAGATACCCCTCTTCTTCGCATGATGTATTTGTCTATAATAAATAAAGTATTAATATGTATGATACGTTATCATCAGAGAAAACATTTCCTTATGCACGATATCGTAAAAACATGCGATGCATTATGACTGATAAAATATTATTTTTGTCCGATGTATCTATGGAAGATATTTGGAGCATTCTCTAATTATTTTTGGTATAAACAATAACTACCTGGTTCTCAAGATCAATATTTCAATAAATCCTAACCTAAAGTGCAATGAGGGCCAAATGAATAGCCCAATCATCCTGTATATTATATAACAACATTCCAAGTAGTAGGTATTCTTGGTTAGCATGACATATATTGCCAATCTGAAATTACTGGACAATATTGAAAACTATGATATCAGAGTGCATCCATCCTATCCTCGGATCCTCAAAGTCCCACCACAGACAGAGTGGAAATGTAGCAGCCAAGAAACTAAACAAAGTGAACCTCACAGTATTCTGGCCCTACTTGCCAAGTTGGACATGTTCTTCTCTTTGATGCATTGATTGAATTGCTTTTCCTGTACCTCTCGGAAATGCATCATCAGCTCAGTCAAAGCAGCAACAAATGTTTCCGGATGACGTATTTGGAATGTTTGTCATTCCCATCCTTAAAACATTTCCATCTTTTAATATTTGTTCATACTGACAGCCATTTCCTTTTCATCCAACTCTGTTGTTAGAAACAATTAAATGTGGCCACCAAATCTGTTGTTAGAAACAAAAAGTGACGCCAATTTCAGAACGAAAAATGTTTTTGGTTCATGGCTGTCTCGGCTCCATTTTCCGACAATTACCAAATCTGTTGTTAGAAACAAAAAAAATTAAAGGTAATTTTGCAACAATAACGTTTTCATTTCTTGTTTTGACAGAGCAACTCCGTCGGCTGGTAGAGCGAACGGGGGACCACCTTCGTTACTTCATAGGGTTCCCGCCCGCGCTCCCGACGTGATCGATCTCGGTTCACCCAAAGAACTCGAATCATCGAAGGTGCCCGCATCTTTTCCGCATCGTCCATCCTCCGAAGCTTCGATCTTTCACACGGTTTCAACAGTTTCTTCTTTGCAACTCCCTTTCGTCGAAAACTTTCAAGAACTACTGCTTGGTGAATCCCCGATAGGCTTAATCTTTGTTGGGTTTCGTGTAGGAATCCGTCGTCGCTGAAGGGTTATGGCTCGATGGCTGTGGCTAAAGTTGTTGGTTTTGATTGGATTATTTGCTTTTTCCGGGGGAAGAGGTAATCACTAATCTTTGGTTATGTGAATTCCTCAAATTTTTGCTCAAAGATTTCCAGTTTATCTGTAAACCCTCTAATTGTGTGTGAAGTCTGTTATATCGTCGCCTATGATGAGTGAGAATATTTTGTTTTATTTGCATGTTTAAATCGTAATGTCGCGACTCTTCTTCGTGATGGTTAACAGAAATTAAGATCAAGTATGAGGATGATGCTCCTCTCTACAATCGTACGCTCGCCAAGATACTCGTGGAATATGCTTCTGCTGTGAGTATGACCTTGAATGTCGATCAAAGACGTCGACTTATGTTGAACTTGGCTTTAAATAAATTATATGTATATATCATCATTTTTATATTTTTAAAGTATTAAGTATTATGCTTTTAAAACAATTCTTCTCTTTCTATTCAAAATATTTGTCATTCTGAATATATCCTTGTATGAAGTTGAAAACCGAATCTTTTGAATATTTTGAATCCTTATATAACTTGTACGAGAGATTGGTCTCTAATATATTCAGAATATTCAAAAAGAGCACTCACAGTCTTCTCCATATGCATAACTCTTCAATTATCCCCTAAACAATGGTTGATCCCCTAATGGTTTTGTAGACATATGTCGACAAAAGGTTCCAGTATATCCTTGTATGTGATATTTTCAAAAACGGGCCAAAACTGGCCTTTTTTGGCTGCGCGAACGAGCGGCGGACAGCGAGCGAAGCGACGGACGGCACGTTCCCTGCTATACGAAAGCCTCATCCAGCCCTGTGCCACCCGGGGGGTTCCAGGGTGCTGAGATGGCTGACGTTTTGCTCCGCTCACCACGGTCACCGCAGCACGGTCGAACAGCCCCAAAACAGGCCAAAACTGGCCTTTTTTGGCTCCGCGAACGAGCGACGAGCGGCGGACAGTGTACCAAATGAATATATCTTACTATGTTGATTCGATAACTTTGGGCCAGTCAGATATGCTAACGGCCAATTTGGAGACAGCCCAAAGCCACCCACCAAATATGACTACCCAAGGAGAACTCTAGACCCAACCAAGTGCCATTATTGATCGATGGATTGTGACTCGACGATGACGACCCACTACTGAAGTGCTAATACAGTGGGCGAACCTACCAACAGAAGATGCCACTTGGGAGAACTATTACGACTTGAAGATTAAATTCCCAGAATTCATGAATCGTTAGCCTCGAGGTCAAGGCTGATTTGAAGAGGGCGGTCTGTTAGGACTCTAGCTAGGAGAATCCAATTGTATCAGTGGTGTATCTGACATGGGCGGTGAAAAGGTGAGGTGGTTGGTTCGGGGATTAGATAAGGATACATGTGCTGCTA